GCTGTTGAATGCTGCCTTTGTTGGTTCTTACAGACTGAACAATGGTAAATCAGATGCTAGTAATGATTTAGCCACTCCTGCTCTGCCACCTGTGGCTGCAGTCTACTCCTGATGCCAACATCTCTTCCCCAAACATGTATCAAAGGGGCGTTCAGTCATGTACTCCTTGCTTTATGTTCTGACTCCCCTCTACCACTATTTACTTATTTTTCTGAATCTCATAGCTTTTACAATGTCTGGGATTTATAGGTATCATCAGGATAAGAAGCAGTAAAAAGTTTACATCATCATATTAACTCCTTTTGTTTGACACATAAACATACATTGTGCATGCTAAAAATTACATTAGTATAATGAAAAGAATATGTGGCAGTGGCTAGTTTCTTAAGTAGGGTAATGTTTACAAAGAGGCGTTTTAGAATTGTTTTGTGTATGTATATACTTGATATTATACACTGTGCATGTTGCTTCCTATCATGTACCCTTTTAAGCTGTCACGGTGCCTATTCTTGGTTGTCAACTTAACTACACCTGGAATTAACTAAGTGCCTGGGTACACTTGTGAAGGATTTTTCTTAACTAATTTATATTAAGTGCGAAGACCCACATTAAGTCCGGATCTTTGAGGTGGGAAGAGCTACCTTTAATCTGGACCACACCCTCTGGGGCAGTCTGTATAAAGGGCATGAAAGAAGCAAGCCTGCTCTCCCTGATTGCTCAGTGGCAAGTCCATGCCTTTGCTGGCATTGAAGCCTACTTCTTTGGGATTCGTGTGTACTGAAAACCAACAGAGACATCTGGACTGTGGACTGAGCTACTACTGGATTTTTGGACCTTCCCTTAGTAGACAGGCATTTTTGGACAGCTGGACCATAGCCTGTAAGTCATTCTAATAAATCTCATGTGTGTGTCCTTTATGAACAAAGTCATTTTTAAACACTTCTTTATATTCACTCTTCCAGTTCTGTTCCTTTAGAGAACCCTAATACAGATGATTTACAATGTGAACATGACATATATGCCTTGATAATGAAACCCTTGGCTTCCCACTGAACGTTCCTCTAACATTTTGCCATGAAATAATATATTTATATCAGAGGGAAAACTGAATAAAAAGATAATCCCTTGAATTATAAATAAATACACCACTTAAGTCTTACACTGGCACAGACAACCCAGCAAAGCATATTAAGATGAGTTCAAGTAAACAATGCTCTGTGGTATTTAAAATAGTACAGAACAAAAACTACAGCCTGAGATTCTGGTTCAAAGTTTCTGTTTCCTACTGGCTGTGTGACCTTGAGTGATTTCAGCTCTCTGGGTTTATTTCCTTGTTGGTAAATGGAGAAAGCAACAGCTCCCTCTCAGGATACTGGGTAGGTTAGTATAGTCAGGGATAGTGTAGCTATCCCATGTAGCACTCGGCACCTATAAGATATTCAGTAAACGGCAGATAATACTAGTAGGAACACTAACTAAAGTTTCCTCACGAACCCCAAAGGATTTAGTCTGTGGCCTGTTTACTTAACTACTACTCTCCATCAAAATAAATAGAGGTGTCTCCTCCCTTCCTGGAATCAGTGTGCAGAGGAATTAATTCAGCGTTAAGAGCACGTTTTCGTTGACTGCGCCATCTAGCGGTACACACCATGATCAAGGCTAGGCGCCCACCCAAAGTGAAGACCTCCCACCGACGGAAACGTCAGTAGGCCGGAGGCAGCTGGCTGAAGCCACCGAGGTCTGAGGGGCGTCGTCACACACCTTTTGAGCGGCTCGCTTCCCAACAGCTAGCGGACTGTTGCTGCATTGCTAAACTTTCCAGCATACTGTGGCATCTACCATGCCAGAGCCCAGCGGCCCTTTCGTCTGTCTCTCCCTCTAAAGCGCACATCCCCGGACAGCACAGGCCGAGCGCTCAGGTTCGTGTCCGGGGTGGAGCGCCCTGCGAACAACACACAAACTCCCAAACTCCACCAACACACGCCTCATCCCACCCAGGCCCGGCCCGCCGGAAGTGACGCTTCGGGGAAGGCGTACTTCCGGCGTGCGGGGCCGGGCTTCTCTGGCTGGCTGTCTCCGCTGCTCTGGAGGATTCCCAGCGGGTAAGGAGCTGCGCGGGCGCCACGGGCTGGGGTGTGCGGGCCTCCGTGCTGCCGCTGGCCGGCTGGAGCCGGACTCGTGCGGGAGGCGCGAGGACAGAGACTGGGGACCGTCGCGATCGCCCGGCTCGGCACTTGGGGACAGACTGGCCCGGGGTCCCCGCGGGACGCGCTGCTGTGTGCGGGCGGGGAGAAGCGCAGGCGACCGTGTGGGCGCACCTGTGTCCAGCCGTCCCACGTCACCTCTCTGACACCCGAGGCTCCCATCGCGGGCGTCAGGAGGAAGATCCGCCCTCCTGGTGACAGTCACCGGGGACCAGTGCGCTGTAAAGGGGCGTGCAGCGTCATTCACCGGCCCCAAAGGCGTGCTGCAGACTGCTGGCGCCAAGGCTTTAAGCTGCCTGGCACCCAGGCAGCTGCCCTGAAAGGGGTTGTGTTCTATGTTCTCACTCAACTCAAGAAGAAGAGGAAACGTTCTTGGAATTGCTAGGTAGAATGCAAAGTAAACCATTCAGTTTTATGTTGGAGCCAAATAATTAGTCTTAACATAAACTACTCCTTTAAAAAAACGTGCACATCTATACTCTAAACGAATCCTGCTTGTGACTATTCGAGCATATTTATTAAGGCTATAGAAACAAGACTTCTTGGTCTGAAGTTTGTTTTACAGTCTGAATCATTGAAATGGGATAATTAAAAATGACTTAAAACTATTAGACTGCAAATGGCAATCTCCCTCATTAATAAGAGATTTTCATGGGACTGCAAACACTTTATATACTGCCTTAATTTATAAATCTACCAGGAAGAACTATAAAGACAAACTTAAGGACGAGTCTTCTGTATGCTTACGAATGTGCTTTGCAATCTGTCGAATTGAAATGGCAAACTAAGCAAGCACATTGGGAGAAAGTAGCCTGGGTTAAAGGTAGGAAAAGAAATGGCCAGAAAACCTGCAGGATTTGAGAAGACCATTCACAGTATTTGCATGTGATTTCCGATTTAAAAATCACTCCTTGGCAAGTTTCTTTCAAGTTTTAATCTAAGATATGTATGTCTTTTTCTTCAACTGGAATGGAACTTCTCTGATCAATGCCAAAATTGTTTTAGAGAAATACTTTTTTTTAACGTACCATAAGTCCAATGCAGATACCTAAATGAAGAGTTGTTGTAAGGAGTATGGTTTTTCTGCCTGCCGCCTGGTCTTGTCCTGCCACTGCACCAGCCCCAATTAACACCCAGAGGCTCTATTAGATATAATTCTGTTGGCCAGGTACTAGTTTCTTATCGGCTAGCCCTGTCTTAAGAATTAACCCATTTTTGTTGATCTATATATTTCTCTTACCGGGGAGCCGGCCGGCATTTTGCTTTCTCCAGACTCTCCATCTTCGCTCCTTACTACTTCCTATTTCCTCCTTTTCTCCTAGTCCCTCCTATCTTCCTTTCCTATTGGCCAACAGTGCTTTATTCATTAGCCAGTATGAGAAACATATACAGAATGACATCTCCCATCATCTCTTTTCTGTCTAAATAAAAAGAAGGGTTTTAACCTTAACATAGCAAAATATATCACATAACAGTTATCCACAGTTAACACTATTTAGTCCATTAACATTTAGTAAAATTTGAAGAAAATATTCCATCATCTATTTTATCTTGTGAGTCTAAAGTCCTATATGTACCTTATTATTGAATCCTAAGGAAAACTATAACCATAACTATCTGTCTTCCAAAGACCACAGAAGGATAGTATATAAATTCTAGAAATGACAGAGACATATTGCCTTGTCAGTCACCTGAAGTTCTTCTGTAATCTTCCATCTTCAACCCATAGGCCATAGTGTGTCTGGCAGACTCTTCAGCAAAGCAGGAAACTTTAAACTGTCTTCTTGTATTGGCAGTTTGTCAGTCACTTTTCTCTGTGTCCTGCAGACTGTCTGGCAGACTCTTCCATGATGTAGAAACTCTGTAGTAATGTCCATTTTGAATCAGCAGTCATTTTTCTGTAGGTCCTGCATGTCTAGTTTATACAGCACAAAGTCAAACAGTCCAGACGAGCAGTATCTTGTCCAAATGGCTAGCCTTGCTATATTGAAAGCAAACTTCATAACATGTTTCTTCTATGTCCATCTTCCATCTTCCTTTCTGGTGCAAGTGGTATTGCCAGGAGCAATTATGTCTCACTGTCAAGGAAAACCCTAAGCCATTTTAAATGCCATATTCTGTAGGTCTTTGAAAGGTTTGAAGAATGTCTATCTATCTCAAATACATCTCTGTGTATCTTGAAAAACCTAACTTAACTCTAAGTTTTGACTATCATAGGTAATTATAATCTGTACTACATTATCTATTACATTTCTAAATGAGCTATATAAACACAATACCTAAACAAAAGGCGAAATATACATATCACAAAATTGACCTTAAATTGTATCAATAAATGAAAATCCATTCCAAACAAAGTATTCATATCTATACTAAGTTCTTATTAGCCACGTGGGCGCCATTTTTAAGGAGTACTGTTTTTTCCGCCCGCTGCCGAATCTTGTCCCGCCGCCGCCAAATAACACACAGAGACTTTGTATATGATATAATTCTGTTGGCCAGTTACTAGTTTCTTATCGGCTAGCTCTGTGTTAATTATTAACCCATTTCTATGTATTTCCACATGGTCTTACCAGCGAGAGGCGGCTGGTGGTTCTAGTCTCTCCTATCTTCCTTTCCTATTGGCCAGCAGTGCATTATTCATTAACCAGTATGAGAAACATATACAAAATGACATCTCCCATCAAGTTGTAATGATTTTAAAGTGTGAAATATGAGTTATGTTTGATGATAATGACCTGTCTGCTGTATACCTTCAGTTTTTAATCAGTTGAATACTACTTGTTCTTATCTTTGAAGTGCCTGTGCTGAAACCATGACCAGATGGGCTAGAGTGACTACCTCAAATAGTAAGAGACCCTTGTCTGCGACATCATGGGAGGACATGAAGAAAGGATCTGCAGAGAGCTCAGACCAAAGTCTTCCAAAGAATAAACAACGTCAGTTTGGTAGGCTACCCCTTAAAAATGATACCCCTCAAGCAAAACATAAAAAGAACAAAAAGAAAAAAGAGTACTTAAATGAGGATGTGAATGGATTCATGGAATACCTAAAACAGAATTCGCAGAGGCTTCACAATGGAGAGTTGATAGCAACAGACAGCCAGGAAGTCCGGGAAGAAGTCGCAGTGGCCTTAAAGAAAGACAACCGACGCGAAGAAAGACGGTTAAAAAGACAAGCAGCAAAGAAGAATGCAATGGTGAGATCATTATGTCTGTATGTTATTTACTTCTTTGTGTAACTAGAAGCTATCATCCATCTACTCACACAGTACATATTTTAACAGTTGCTTCCATCCTAGTGCATCTTTTTAAGGCCTGTGCTTTTTAGCATGTGTACACACACACACACACACACACACACACACCCCTAACATACTGGTTAGTTGTCATAACACCAGTACACAGGTGGTTATAGTCCCATATTACAGTTAGAAAACACAGAAGTGTGCCAGCTTAAGTGACTTGCTAAAAGCCACTTGGTCAGTGCTAGAGGTGAGGTTCAAACTGAATTCAAAACCTGTTTGTCCTGCCACTGTCTTATGGTAACACATTTTCAAATGGCAGTTGGGAAAAAAAATACTCTGTACCAGAAGTTAAAGATGGTTCGCATTGCTTGGAGGAAATAGCTGTTCTTTTGCTGTTATCCATAAAAAGTTCATTCACAAGAAAGGTCTGATCCCTGTAATCCTCTCCACGTGAAAGTTAAGGAGGCTTCAAGAACTGTGTTAATGGTAGGTTCCAGAAGCTGAGGCCAGGCATGTTGATGACACAGCCAGCACTTGTTATGGCTTCCAAGCTCGTTTGTGCTCATGCTCATGCTTGTGTGTGGTTGATGTGGGTGTGGCTGGAGTTACAGGTTTAGGCAACCGTGTCTAGCCAAAAGCCATTTGTGTGGTGCATGTATGTGTCTGTGTGGGAGCCAGAAGATAACTTCAGGTGACACTCCTCAGCCACCATCTACCTTGTTTTTGAGGCAGGGTCTTTCACTGTTTCTCACTGTACTGGAACTTTCTAGTTAGACTCTACAGGCTAGCCAACAGGCCATTTACCTCTCCAGTATTGGGACTCTGAGCGTGCTTTGCCACACTTGCCATTTTTTTGTTTGTTTGTTTTTGTTTTTTTTTTACATGGTGTCTGAGGCTTGAATTCAGGTTGTCATGCATGTGTGGCAAAGACTTTAATGACTGAGCCATCTCTCCAATCCTAAAAGACGTTTTTGAAAGTACAGTTCATTTACTTTCTACCTTCTGTTTGCTTTTGTTTTCTATTTTGAGAAAGAGTGTCACTTTGTAGCCTTGGCTGGCCTAGATCTGGCTGTGTAGACCCGCTGGCTATGTAGACCCACTGGCTGTGAACTCAGTGATCCGCCTTTCTCTGCCGCCTGAGTGCAGTAATTAAAAAGTGTAACCATTCTACCTGAGTGTAAATCACTGATTTAATTTGATGATGATGATGATTGAAAACAGATTCTTCTCTCATACAATACATCCTGACCACAGTTTCCTCTCCCTCCACTTCTCCCAACTCCCCTTAATCTCCCCTCCCCCCAGACCCACTCCCCCCCTCCATTTTCTTTCAGAAAAGAACAGGCCTCCAAGAGACAACACCAAACACAGCAAATAAGACACAGTAAGACAAGGCACAAGCCTGCATATTGAGGCTGGACAAGGCAACCCAATAGGAGGGAACGAGTCCCATTAGCAGGCAGAATAGTCAGAGACCCACTGCTCCCACTGTTAAGAAAGCAAGCTAATAGCCGTAACATATGCATAGACCTATGCAGGCGCATTTTTGCCGCTTCAGTCTCTTGTGAGCCCATATGAGCACAATGCTTTGTTGACTCTGGGGGCCATGCTCTCCTGGTGTGAAATGGTTTAGATTTCTTCCATATCCAAAGTTCTCAGGAGAGACCTATTTTTAGAAACTGTGTAGTCTGGGTGATGTTTTGAATAACCAGATGCTCTGTAGTCAGTGAGCTCTCTCTCTCTCAGTGTGACTGTAGTGAGTAAACACCCACATCCTTCACCGTGTTGCTGGCGAGCCTGGAATCAAAGAAGGATGGATTTCCTCTTCCCAGAGTTTACCTATTTACCCTTTTAACATCTTAATATTGTCACCATTTATAATATTTATAATATTGTTTTGGATGACAGTTCTGACCCGCCATGTACTACTGTTTGGACCCAGTGCCAACCACTGTACATAGTCTTCAAATTTCCTTTCCACTAATCACTTTACTAAAGACAGCAAGTTAGGTGAGATACATTGCTTTTCTGCTAGTGAACTATTGGCTATAACCGGAGTGCAGCCTACCACGCATGCCTTTAGGGCCTTCTGGCCTCGGCACATAGGCTGTGATTTCACCGGATATTTCTCTTCCATCCACACTCCTGCTGAAGAAAACTTGGGCCATTGCTTCGCAGACTTGGAAAGTTCAGGGTACCCTCACCGTATTCTGATGGGCCTTCTGTCTCTAAAGAAGCAGAATCCAGGCAGTACTAAGTGTACTGAATTATCATGGCCTCAGTTTAGATAGATCTGTTCGTGTTGAGCACGTCAGAGTTTTTAGGAGACTTTCTGTAACAGGATTTGGCTAGTGATCATGACCTTTTTTTTTTTTTTTTTCTTTTATGTGGTTTTTCCAACCGTAATGTTTATGTGAGCAGGCAACTGTCCTAGTGATTTTCTGACCTTCGTGTTAGTATTGGGGACTGCAAAATACAGATAGTTTTGATGAAAGGATTAGTAAAGGCAGGAGAGTATTTTTATCACGTGCAAACTGATGTTTTCCTTTCTCAGGTATGTTTCCATTGTAGAAGACCTGGGCATGGAGTTGCCGATTGCCCGGCTGCACTGGAAAGTCAGGACATGGGCACTGGCATTTGTTACCGCTGCGGGTCCACAGAGCACGAGATCACGAAGTGCAGAGCTAGCGTAGACCCTGCTCTTGGTATGTTCTCTTTGAGGCTCATGTTTGGTGCTGTGGGCAGGTGACCATTAAATAACCAACTTGGTAAAAAGGCATATTTTCTGTTAACAGTATTTTAAATGAATGTGAATTATGCAACTTGTCATATACACAATACATTGATTCTTACAGGTGAATTTCCTTTTGCAAAATGTTTTGTCTGTGGAGAAATGGGGCATCTGTCCAGGTCCTGCCCTGAAAATCCCAAAGGAGTCTATGCTGACGGTGAGTGCCATTGCCCTCTTGTGTCCCACAAGAGCATACTTGGACGAGTAGGTTTTTCTCCTGCTGGCCTGGGGCCAGCCCCGATTAACACCCAGAGACTCTGTATTTGATATAATGCTGTTGGCCTGTTACTTGTTTCTTATTGGCTAGCTCTGTCTTAATTATTAACCCATTTCTATTAATCTAAGTATTTCCACATGGTCTCATCTTACCAGAGAGTGGGCCTGGACCTCTGTTCACTCCAGTCTCTCCATGCTGACTCCTCCTTCCTACTTCCTCGAATCCTCCTTGTCTCCTAGTCCCTCCTCTCTTGCTTGCCTATTGGCCAACAGTGCTTTATTCATTAACCAGTATGAGAAACATATTTACAGAATGACATCTCCCATCACGTATTGCTCAGAATTAAGATCTGACTCCTTTTATCTGTTTTTAAATAAATTTTTGAGTGGGTGAAACCTTGAGTGCCTTTACCAAGTACTGTTCTGTGCTGGGCTATTGGTGTTTAATTTATTAATAAATTGGGGAAGCTGCTATGGAATATTTCTCAAATTACTTGCTTCAATATTATTTGTGAGAATGTATTAAATATCGGTTGTTTAAGCACAACTGAAGTGGAGAGACTACATCTCAAATTAGTAAAAGATCTGAAAAGCTGTGCAATACGTTAATGTCCTAGCATGCCGTTCTGCTAGAGTGTGGTGGGCACTGTTCTGTTTTGTTGTGATATTTGTTTCTGAAGTTTCTCCTTATGCATGACCTAGGGCTTCGTTTAACTGTTGTCTTTGTCTCAGTGTCTTAACAGCCTACAAAAAACACTGTTGTGTCTGAAGACATGCAGGAGGAAATTGTTGTCTGTTAATAAAATGGCTGGTGCCAGTGGATCCTTGGTATATCCGTGTCCTGTCTTGAGGTCCCCCCCCCCCCCCCCCCCCGCCCCAAGGTCCAGTAGAAAAATGTGTTGCTCATGGAGTCAGTCTTATCACCACTTGGCCATGTTACTGAATGGTCCTTGTGTCACCTGTACAATGGAAATAAGGAAATTAGATTTCATTGATTCCTAAATGCATTTTTCCATTTTTATATGCAAAATCAAACTGTATCATACCATCAATGGGTCCTATATGTTTGGCATTTTTTTTTTTTTTTTTTGACTTCCTGAAAGATGTGTATTGACATACCTTGCAATCAGTGATGCATTGTAGGGTATTTGTTCACACTGACACTCTGAGACTGCTAATAATGTTAACCTTAAATCAGGGGACAGAATCAGTGACTCGTTGACTAGAATTAACCATAGAGGCATGGAGGACCCAGGGAGCTGGTTAGAGTGATGCACAGGACGTAGTAGAGAGGGACATGGAGATTGTGCCGGGTTTTTTTTGATCTGGAGATCGTGGAAAGGCAGGGTCAGGGTCAGCTGACCCTTCCTCCATTGCTCTTTGAGTCCATCCAGTTTATAGCCCACTATCTGACTCCCAAGTTTTTATTAATATTAGAACAATATAGATAAATGCATCAGTGGAGTCTTAGATTTGCTCAGTTATGGCTTTTTATCTGTTTTAAAGTAAGTGATTAGTCATAGGTTTCTTCCTTTCTGTTTTCACCTTGGCATAAAGAAGGGTCTTGGGCCTGGAAAGTTGACTTGTGAGTAAAAATGGTTTTGCATGGTGAGCCAAATTGAATAGTTTTTGTTGTTATTTATTTATTTATTTATTATGTGTACAGTGTTCTGTCTGTATATATGCCTGCACGCCAGAAGAGAGCACCAGATCTCATTACAGATGGTTGTGAGCCACCATGTGGTTGCTGGGAATTGAACTCAGGACCTCTGGAAGAGCAGCCAGTGCTCTTAACCTCTGAGTCATCTCTCTAGCCCCAGTTTTAACAATTTTTTGTTTTTGTTTTCCTAGACAGGGTTTCTCTGTATTTTGGGTCCTGTCCTGGAACTCGCTCTATAGACCAGGCTGGCCTCGAACTCTGCCTCCCAAGTGCTGGGACCACCAATGCCCGGCTAGTTTTTGTTGTTTTAAAGCAAGGGAAGTGCATTCCGTACATGTGAGGCAGGTGTGTATCCTGTGGGGACCTTTTCTGTTTTGACACTTCACACAGCATGATTATTATATGAAAGCCCCCATGTTGTAACTCACCATTCTGGAATATTGCTTAAATTAGACAGATGGGGGCATTTTTGAGGGGTGGCAGGACTGTCAGATGGAAGGCACGGAAACCGATTTCCCTTAAGTAATGACCCCATCTGACTGTCTAGTAGAGCAGTGTTGCTTACTAACCTTTTTGGGAGCCACTGCTTACTGAGAAACTGATAGAAACTGGGCATCCTCCTGAGGCAGGGTGTGACCCTGTCCAACAAGTTTTGTTTCCGGGTGAAGGCTCCGCACCTTGACTCTCTCCATGAGCAAAGCAAGCTTTAGACTTCTGTGCCATGGCTCTTGGACAGGTGACTTCTGCCTTGTGTCTCTTCTCCGCTTCTCTTGAAGGTTGGGTACAAGAGCATCTCCTGAAACTCAGGCATGGCAAAGCAGTTGCTAACAGGAGTGATGGTACCCACCCAGCTTCCCAACTGCAGCTGCCTTTACCGTCACCATCGATGCGAAGACATGAACGTGCCCTTCCATGTCACAATCCCTGTGTCAGGGTGACATAGTTCTCAGTGACTCTGTTGTCTTTTACTAGGTGGCGGCTGTACACTCTGCGGCTCTGTGGGACATTTTAAGAAAGATTGCCCTGAAAATCAGAATTCAGGTGAGCTCCTGGGCCTCCGTCTGTAAGGGTATTCCTCTCTGTGCTCACTGATTCCATTAGTAATAACTCAGAGAGGCACAGTAGATTGCAGACAGCTGCTCTGCCCTGTGACAGGGACCTCGCCACTCCTGAGGCCCTGGACTTCAGGTCTGTTCTTGGGAAGAGAGCTGGTAAGCTGCAGGACTCTATTTTGAAAAGCATCTTACAAGCTTGTATATTTGCTCAGAAATAGGGTCAGTTATACTAGAACTTTGTTACTTAGCAAAAAACTATTGACTCCTAATTTAGAACTCAAATACAAAATTAATTTTTAGCATTCATAAGCCTGAGCATCCTCATGTGCTTTGTGTTCTAAAATGATTGTAAAGCTGTTACCTTACTAAAACTGTTATCAGCACAGCATCCGCCTGACGCTTTTTCCTTCTAGTGAAATGTTAGCCTTGATCATTATAAACTTCTAAGTGTTCACTGTTACATGCAGCAGACTCTAAGGAAGTAGAGTCCATTATTCCCTTCATTTGCCAGGATTGGAATAGAGGTGATCTTGTGTGAAAGAAAGCAAAACCGGCCTGGGCTGCTCAATGGCATGTGGACCTGAGTTCGGCTCCCAGAACTGACTAGAAAGCTGGCTGTGGCGGTTGCATGCTTGTAATCTCAGCCCTGGGGAGGCACGGAGCGGTGGATCCGTGGGGCTTCTTTCACAGTCACAACTCATCCCTGTCTCCCCATTCTCACTTCCTTACCCTCATGTTTAAATGTAAAACCGGGAGTTCTTGTTTATAATCTTGTCTAGAAGGAGATCCTCTTTATATGGTGTAGGCAGTGAGATTGAAATGATGAAGTGGGGCTTGAATTCTCCCTCCTGGGAGGATTGCCACTTCCCAAATGACAAAACTGACAAGCAGATGTTGCATAATTTCACAGGTGGAATCTTGTGCATTTAAAACTAATGCCTCCTAAGTCTTGCTGTTTACGGGCTCTTGGAATTCATTGCCTCTTCAGTGATGAACCCTGGGAAAGAATGAAGGAGCTTTCTCATCAGTTTGTGCATTGCAAAGTAGCTGCTGCATTTCCCTAATTGGGATGAGAAATTGCCTGTGGTACTCAGAAATCAAGGGTTCTAATCAATTACAGAATTGCTCACTTTCCTGCCGGAATGGGGGCTTCTCTTCTTGTGATTACCCATGTCAAAACTATTTCCTTTTCTCAACTGATACCACTCTTAAGTGGAAGCATTTGATTACTGTTGTTTTTCTTTCTTATTTATTTATTTATTTATTTATTTATTTATTTATTTATTTATAATCCCTTTACAGATCGGATGGTCACAGTTGGTCGCTGGACACAGGGAATGAGTGCAGACTATGAAGAAGTTCTGGATCTGCACAAAGCGCAGAAACCGAAAACTAAAGTAGCCAAAGTTGTTCATTTTTAACAAGAGTTGATATGTTGTTAATTACCACCTCTGTTGCTTTCCACATAGTAGGCCTTTACAGGTTAGCGCCGGGTGCCTGTGGAGGCAAGCCTGTATTATAGACACCACTATGACCTTGGTGGAATTACATTGCTTGTATTCTGTCTATCAAGGAGTACAGGGTGATTAATTGTACTCTCTAGACTCCTGTGTGTGTGTGTGTGTGTGTGTGTGTGTGTGTGTGTGTGTGTGTGTGTGTGTGTGTGCGCGCGCGCGCGCGCATGTACATGCACTTGAAACAGATTCTATGTTTTTATGTAGCTCAGGTTGGCTTCAAACTAGTAATCCTGCCTCAGATCCCTGAGTGCTGAGATTACAGGTATGTGCCTAAGAACATAATTAACACACAGAACTTAGACCTAACTGACTGTACACTTGACTGACTGTCATCTCTGTAAATCTAAATTATGCATCAAAATTGATCACCTCTAAACAAAACACACAGCTTCAAGTTTGTGAATAAGTAAAATTTTGTTATTCTTAATTCAGAGTATCAAGTTATTGTAATAGAAATTTATTTATATGTTGTCACAAAATCTGTAATTTTTAGTACAGAATAAACTATATCAGCTGTTTATCTATGTTGAATTGGCCATTATTTGCTACCCTCATTCTAGAGTCCTTTTGAAAACAAGATTGTTTAAGTCTTAGAGATAAAAGGGATTTGTTTAGTTTTGATTTAGTTTTAATACAAAGAAATTACTGATACTAAAATTAAAGAGTACTCCAGTTCCACAGCTCTATTTTGCCTTCAATTTCAAGAGAAATTCTAGCCAAAAAACATCAATGTGCCGTATTCAGGCTGAGTGACGGCATGACAGCTTGTGTATTAGACTTCCCAGCGTTGTGTTCTCATGCTTAGATGAGTCAGGGTGTCATAGAAGCATCACCATAATAGAGTTAGAACACTAATCAGAGACCCATTAGCTTCTTTGTCTGATTTGATGAATGCATGCATATTTAATACATATATTCCACAAGCCCTGCCACGGCCATTGTGCAGTGTAATGGAATGACTGGTGGTTTGCGAGTTTCATTTGAAATTTTACCTGATTGAATCCATTTGTAACTGAAGGAAGCAGCTGTGATTAGTTACTGATGCCTCAAAAGCTAAATATTTACCAAATAAGAAAAGAGGCTCTTCGTCTGTTTTCATATCTGCACAGCCTAACAGTTTGAGGCTTAATAGGAGCTGTTCTTTTATTTTCGGTGAGGGGGAAATGTGATGACAAAACAGTGCTCAGCATCCCAGAGCTTAAGGAAACGAGTGCACTCAAAATGAATTGCAAGCTACGCTGCTGGAGAGGATCAGGAATACTGCTGGAGCGCAGACTTCTCCGTATCACACCATCCTCGCAGGCACAGAGGGAAGTGTGTGCTTTCGAACAGGCCTCACTGCTGCAATGCTGGTGGCCAGTTTGCCTTCCCTAGATCACTGCTTTATGTTAACAGTTTAATCTTTCAGGGAGTGAAAGCAATACAGAGAAATTATGGGTGCTGCAAGCAACATTTTAGAGGTGCACAGGGGCTGCAAGGAATATCCTCCAGGCAGGGTGGATGGGAGACAGGAAGTGGGTATTTCTTGAACTGGGAATGCTAGAGGAGGTTGACATTGACTTTGTTTGACCAGTATTCGAGCTCTGCTTATACTTGGGCGCTAGATTATGATAAATGAGTGGAGTTGCATAGTGAGATACTCACTTTGTCCGCACCTGTGGCACAGACCACGCCCATTGGGGGTGGAGACAGGGGCAGATGTTACCTGAGGGAGTTAAGTCTGAGGAGGGGGCTGGGAGAGCTCTCTTGGGTGGGGACAGGAGAATATTGGGAAACATTCTTGGGACCAGGAACCTGTTAGTGTTCATCTGTCTATGTTATAAGTTATTTCTCCCTGAATAAACATCTATTCGGCCTATTTGTTTCTCCTGATCCTTATTAAACATCAATAGAGTTGAATTAGGGAAAACTGCCATGCCTGACTTTTTCAGGGTAGTGGGGATTTAAACTCGAGTCGTCATGCTTGTACAATATGCATAATATATTTGTGTATATGTTGTGGCAATATATTTGTACATAATATTTCTGTTTGCACACACACATGAGTTTTTTGGGGGGTTGTTTTGGTTTTTCTTTCTTTGGTTTTTTGTTGTTGTTGGTTTTGTTTTGTTTTTGTCTTTTAGAGACAGAGTTTCTTTATATAACAGCTCTGGCTGTCCTGGAACTTACTTTGTAGACTAAGCTGCCTCTGCTTTTTGAGTGCTGGGATTAAGGGTGGGCACCACCAGGGCCCAGCTATTTGTGCATAGATTATGACCCAGATGAGTGTTTTTGTGGGGTCTCTGCATCTGTCTCTGTTTCTTGTGCCTTTTTTGGGTTCTTTTCCTTCGGTTTGTTTTGTCCTATTCCAGTGAGTTAGATTTGTTTTATCATGTCATGTCATTTATCATCCTTGAAGCCTGTTTGTTGTCTAATGAGAGACAGAAAGCTGGTAGATCTGGATGGGAGGAGATGAAGGGAGAAACTAGGAAGAGCAGAAGGAGGGGAAACTAATAAGAATATATTATGTGAGAAAAATCTATTTTCAATAAAAGGGGAAATAAAAGGAAATTTTGAAGTATTACAAATGAAACATGTCACACACAAAGGAAGAAAAATTTACTACCTCATAGTAACAGTGAAAGCCAGGAGACAGTTTTATGACATCTGTGTTGTGGGAAGCAATACTCTTTTTCAGCTTAGAACTCTATGCCCATTGAAATTACGTGTGAAGAACAAGAACAAATAAAATAGAGCACATCACCAATAGGTCCCCATTAAGAAGCTTCAGTGCTTCCCTAGGAGTAGAAGTGAGATTGTATGAGGAGTCAAGTGCAAATCGATGCAAACAGAGGGATAAGAGCCCATCCTGGGGGGCTGGAATGAGAACCACATGGTGAAAAAGGGAACCAACTGCTGAAAGCTGCCTTCTACTTCACGTGCACACCATAGCACGTGTGCACCCACACATACTACATAAACACATGGAATCGAATTAATAGGAAAAACCATATCGGCATGAGAGTGCATACATTGGAATGAATACTGCTATGAGTAAAGCTAAGGAGTAACACGGGCCTGTGCTTTGCCCTACAGTGGTGTGCCAGCTGCTCTTCTGGCTAAGCCCAGAGGTGATAAGAAAGTATATTGAATCCCTGGAGGCAGGGATGGCAAGGAGAGTGAACGTTTCTGGAAAATACTCTAAAGTACCACACAGGCCCTTAGGAGACAGTGGCCTTCCTTTCCTGTGATATGCAAAACTGTTCATCATGAGGGAGTGTGGCCTGATCAGAGGCTGGACTGAGGACAGAGTGGAGGTCAAGAAAAAGAAAAGAGACAGGAAGATGGGTAATGTCTGGGCGAGAGAAGATGGTGGTTTGAGTTGGTATGCTGATGCTGTTTTTAACATAGAATCTGTCAGACTTGCTGGGAATAAAGGGAGAGATTTAGTGTGAACAGGCAGCAGAATTGAGTGTTGTGCAATTTTACTTTAACTATGCAAAGATGTGTTACATTTGTTTACACAGCATTGTTTAATTATGTAAAGATGTGTTGCTATTTCACCTTGCCTGCCTAAGATTGGTCTAATAAAAAAGCTGAATGGCTAATAGCTAGGCAGAGGAAGGATAGGTTGGGCTGGCCGATAGAATAAATAGGAAGAACCTAGGCTCAAGAGAAGAGAGGAGAGAACAAGGAAGAAAAAGGATGCTCCTGGGGCCAACCAGGCAGCCACCAGCCAGCCAGACACCGAGTAGGACATACAGAAGGAAAAAAAGGTAAAAAGCCCCTAGGCAAAATGTACATGAAGAGAACCAGGTTAAGTTATAAGAGCTAGCAAGAAACCACCACAGGGCTAAGCATTCATAACTAATGACAAGTCTCTGTATTATGATTTGGAAGCTGGTTGGTGGCCTAAAGAAAGCCTGCTACAGAGTTTTTTAGAGATGCTGACTGACAGTATCTTAGTGAAAATGTTAGTGTGTAGTCAGCTGTTAGGGTCACTAAAGGCTAAGACGAGATGCAGAAGGGGGAGTTTCTGATGAAGAGATGGCATCAAAAACCCAGACAGGTGGATTGACAGAGGAGTAGAGATCAAGGACAGAGCTTGACAGTCCCCTAATATTCCAAGGTCTGATGGAGGGGAAAGGTTCAAGAGAGGCCCTTGAGCCTGTGGCTAGTGCATAGGAGAGAAGAAGGAAGTGGGGGGGGGGGGCTTGAAGAAGGCAAGAGGAATTGCTCTTGGCGGATGGTGGAGAGAATCCAAGCCTAATGATCATAAGGGAGCAAGGATGGGAGACAACTGCTTAAGGACTTATGCCTTCTCAAGCATAAGAGCAAGCAAGGGCTGTGTCTCAAGGTCATGCTCTACTGCTGTGGGAGGCAGAGACATTTGAGTGGTATGTGCATTAGGAAAACACGCCGAGAGTGTTTGCAAAGCCCTGAATGCCTGCTGGTATCGGTGATGGGAACTCGGAAGTGAGACCAGTCTCCAGTTCCCAGCTGCTCACACTGGAGACGAACGGTCCGGCTAGGTCTACCATGGTTGGGTTGACTGAAAAGGGAGATATAGCTAATTTCCAGGGAGTGACTACAAGGCTCTTTCAGAGAATCTAACCAGGCAAGGAAAGGAGAGAACACGGGCAGGGGGCAGGTGTTCTTAAACAGTGACAGTATTCATCCTAACACCAAACAGGACCTGAAGGATGGCCTCAGTGTAAATGTGTGGATTTTTATATGGCGCTTCATCTTCAGAGGTATAAAATGAGAAAGGACGTTTTAATCTAAGATTTCTCTGGTTGGTGAGAAGGGAGCAGAGTTAGTGCCAGGAAATCACAAAGAGCCTGGGATTCTGAATAAGGTTAAAAAAAAAAAAAGGCTGTAGTTATATGGCTGTTGGCAGAAGGCACAGGACAGGACTCTTTGTTCAGGCACAAAGGCCCGTCTTGCTTGAAACACAGTAAGGACAGGAACAGGAGTGCGTTTGTGCCACTTTCTTTGGCCCCTCAAGTCTAACAAGAACGACGAGGTGTGCTGAAGTGGAAGCTTCCGACTTCAGACATGGCGAGGAGTGGGGAGGGGGTGAGGTGTGGTGTGGTCGGGGTGCTGAGAGACGGACTCAGACCTAGAACAAACCTAGAACCCAGAGGACTCAGACCTAGAACAAACCTAGAACCTAGAGGACTCAGAACTAGAACAAACCTAGAACCTAGAGACAGCTGAGACTCTTGGACCTAGAACTTTTCTGAGCAAGTAGCAAGCACTGTGTCCAGTGGCCAAAGACCAGTGGCTCCCGCTGATCTCTGCCCATGCGTTAGCAGCTGACCCGAAGCCATACAGGGGTCATCTTGACTTGTGACTCAGAACCAGGAGACAGAAGTCTCCGAGTCTGACACACTCAGGGAGAGCCAGAGAGCCAGCAAGGATGAGGCCCTGAGAGAGATGCCTGCCCCAAGGGTTCCAGCTATTGTCAAATGGAAGAGATAATCTATGAATAAATTTCAGATTCCTTCATTTAATAATTTATCTCAGGCTGTAAAACATACTG